AATGTGAGAACATGATCTATTTCTTCCAGCCTCCTTCTCCTCCCAGCTCAGCTGGATGACATAAATCATATCATGTCCATGATATAAACAAGGTCATTGGCCTCTCTGGAATGCTATGCTCCCCAGCTGATCAAGGGAAGAGTGATGGAATGACATGTAGAAATAACATCTTTAAAGATAAAGTTGAGTTCTGGTCATGCGATTACATTGTGGAATCGATCAGAAAAGATTGATCATCTAGCATATTGGTATGTACTGCAACTTTCTGGAATCATCAAAATGATAAGAAATTTGGCCCAGTCTTGGTATAGTTACAATCACTACACACAAAAAGGTGTATATGGGACTCCACCAAAATGTGGCATAAAAATTTGTCCCCATTGTTATGATGTTACATGCATATTTAGAATATGAAGGCATTTGAGGAGCCATGCTCTCCAGGGAACATTTCTTATCTGATGTTCTTCCACACTTGCATAATACAATGATAACGCTCACAAATTATTTTTCACCTCTTCCCAGAACTCAACCCTCTCTTTAGGGGAAGTCCACTCTTACTGTTTTCACACTGGCAATATTTTGCTTAACCCCGTACTATAGGTGGGGTTAAGGGGGGTCTTAGCCCCACCTATAGTACGGGGTTAAGCCTATTCCACTAATTTCTGTTCAGACTGGTTTTTACCAAAGTGGGCTAAAGTTGGCTAACCCCACCTATAGTACGGGGTTAACTAACCCTGCAAAATAGCAGGGCTAACTCCGCAATTGTGGTGCTAACTCCTGCTAACCCCGCAATTGCGGTGCTAAGCAAATGAATGAGAACAGAAACGAAAAATAGTCCGGTACTACGCAATGGAGCGTATCGCAGCTGGCCAGATGCGAAGTATGTCCAATAATAACATTCACGATATCCGGGGTTAACGAAATGCAGTGAGAACAGCTGGAGTTTTCTTATTCCAGAATAGGTGCTAGTACGGGACTAAAAACAGCGAGTGTGAAAAGCCAAAAAAAATAGTCCGGGGTTAAGGATAGTACGGGGCTAAGCAAAGTACGGGGTTAAGCAAAACCAGTGTGAAAAGAGTATCTGATATTAATTTGGTTTTAATAGAAGCAGAAAAATGAGAGAAACAAATCGGTGAAAGTTTTGGCAATATCCGATTACAAATAGGAAAGTTATGAATTATTGAAGTTGTCATCAGTGGAACACAAATCACCAACACTGTGACGTATCTTGCGAGCTCCTCGCCAATTTGCTCTGTACATAAATTTCATGAACATTTTAATTTTCTTAGTTATTTATATTGGAATAAGTTTTTTCTATACAGTGGTTGTATAAATATTGAAATAAGGGTGAATGTATAATTTAAAAGAATTTCTTACAGGAAAATATGATTTTTTTTTTTTTTTGGGGGGGGGGGTAAGTTTTTTAGTACAGGGCTATTGGGAGGGTAGCTCGCAAGATACGTCAGAGTTGTATTTAATTGATCACACCTTCAAAAAAATTAATAAATTTCCTATTTTTAATTGTTTTTTGCTCAAACTTTCACTGACCTGTTCCTCTCATTTTTCTGCTTCTATTAAAACCAACTTAGTATCAGGGTGGATTTCCCCTTTAGAGAAAGTTGAGTACTGTATTATGCAATTACACATTTTGAAAGAAATCAGATAACTCCTTGAAGAACTGTCTGGAGGCTATAGACTGGTTTACTAGTATATTCTAATTTAATGCATACATTTTAAACAAAGGTTGTTCTTGACAACCAAAGGCTTGCCTGAGGTTTGCCAACAAGCAACAAATAATTGTATGCAAACTGCATTCCAATTATTGTAGTTCATTTTAAAGGTATAGACCAGTTTTGGAAATGCCCCCCTGTCAAAAAATGAAATGGAAGCTCTTATTACCGATCATGTGAAAGAATATGTTTTGACTACTACGTGATGATACAAATTTTGCCGGGAGACCGCCTACTAATTGATATATTGAACTGGACCGGAAGGATATCTCAACGTGTTGTGTAGTCCCATATACATCTTTCTGTGTATAGTGCTTGTAACTTTACCAAGACTGGACCAAATTTCTAATAATTTTGATGATTCCACAATGTTTTTTTCACTGCGCAATCGCATGACCAGAACTGGTTTTACCTTTAATCACAGGAGACTTTTTTTTTAATTTGAGGTATATTTTCATCTCCTTCATAATCTTTATCTTATTTTTCTCTCCATCTCTCTTCTCTACATCTCTCACCCTCTTTCATCCTCCATCCTCCATCCTAGTTCTCTCTCAAAGACAGTTTCAGGAGAGCATATTCCATAGCATGATGTACATTATGTGAGTGATGACATGGATATTTAGTTGTAAAGCTCTTTATCTCTCTTTTTTCCAAAATAAATTTAATATTCAAGGAATGCTCCTTTGCCTACCGAAGACCCCCCCCCCCCCTCCTCCTCCTCTCTCTCTCTCTCTCTCTCTCTCTCTCTCTTTCTCTCTCTTTCTCTCTCTCTTTTAATTTCTTCATATTTTGAATCCTTTTTCTAGCTGTACATGTCTACCCCCTTGTTCTCTCTCTCCCTCCCTCCCTCCCTCTCTCCCTCTCTCCCTCCCTCCCTCCCTCTCTCTCTCTCTCTCTCTCTCTCTCCCTTTCTCTCTCTCTCCCTCCCTCTCTCTCTCTCCCTCCCTCTCTCTCTCTCCCTCCCTCTCTCTCTGTAACAGCGTGTCCACACACAAAACAATTTATCCCGAAACTCTATAACGAAACGTTGTATAAAGGATCATCGTATAAATTTCAGAGTGTCCACACACAGAAGAAAGTAATCCTGAAACTCTACAGCGAAATGTTGTATAGGTGCGCAGTTTGCTACTGCGGTCATGAAATGGAAGCAGAAATGAGAGGTCAGGTCTCCTTTCGAGCGAGGTCACGTTAAGCCCCGCCCAGTTAGTTACACTAGTTACACTAGTTACGTCCACACACAACACCTTCCGTGATTAGGCATGATTCTTTATTGAGTTTTAGTTCGAAACGATGCCCAAACCTGCGTTTTGTTATACGACGTTTCGTTATACGACGTATCGTTAGTGAGCGTCCACACACACAATTTCATCGTATAACTATCGCGAAACTGTATAACTATCGCAAAACGGTATAGCTAATCACGCCTAACCACGGAAAATGTTGTGTGTGGACAGGGGGTGACTCTGCCAGTCTCAGGTGATCACATTCCTAAAGATGATGTATGTGGGTGATGATGTAGACGATGATGTAGACACCTGCTAAGCTCTTGTTCAGGGTCAATGGGTTTGTTTGAAATGAAAATCTTCCTGCAGGGAGGGTCATCCTTCCCTCACTCACTCTCACCGAGCCCTCACCAAGAGACAAGTTGACATGCCTCTGCTGTCACTAAGCAGGATACCAAAGCCCCGTCCTCATCAGCTCGAGTTTACCAAATAACCCACTATTTATCTATCCTGATCGCAAATTAACCAGCGTCTCCATCAGCCCACAGTTGCAATTAGCAGGATATTTGGTCAAGAAAATATCCCAAGAAATCTTGGTCTCGTTTAAAAAATATCCCGCTATTTGGGAAATCGCAGGCTAATTTGCGACTGTCCGAGCTACTTTGTGATGAGCATATCGGTCTTGTGAAGTTGCAATTTCAAGCTTGGGGATGATATCCAGAGTCTGAAAATTGCGGGTTATTTGGCAAACTCGAGCTGATGACGACAGGCCTCATGTCAATACACAACTGTCTCTCAGTCATGTTCTCTGGGGCCTCTTCACACAAGAGAATGAAATTTGTAGGATTCTTTTGCACCAATAAAATCTTCATGTTTTCTGTTTGACTATCTCTCAACCTCTCTGGGGCTTCCTCACGCTGGAAAAGAGACTTTGTTTGTTTTTTGTTTTTACATTATACAGGAAGGAATTTGAGTGAATTATGAAAATGTTGATTACTAAACGGGAAGAATTCAAAAATAAATTAAAGATGGGGGTCATATTTAACAGGTCTTTTTGGTGAAAAGTAAAACCCATGTGTAATTGTAAAGATCTTTGGTATAACAGTTGCCATTCCCAGTGGCATATCGGCATTTTGTTTTTCATCTGACATCTGTACTTCTTTTTGAATATGGAATGACATGAATTTGATGTAGGAATGTCAAAGAGTATGAGCATATTCAATTTTATTGATCTGATGCCCTTTGTATACACATTGTACATCATATATGGAGGATATAGTCCACAATCTACCCAAAGCTCCAGCAAGTTACATGTTTGCTAGTTTATAATATAAAAAAATGCAGCTTGGGGGCTTTGTTTAATTGTATTTTGGAACAGAATGCCAAATATCTAGCATGTGTTTTCCCCCTTGTCTTTAACCGCACAAGTACATGTGTACATGTATGCGTGGGTGTTAAAAAGAGATTAACATGGGATATGATTGAAATTTGAGTACCTCACAGAGTCTTGCATTACATTCTTGTGTTAAGTTAATGTTGCTGTTAGATGATTGTTTTAGAACCCTTGAGGGCTTTAAATATGTTGCTATTGTGATGAGTTTCATGCTAATAAAGATTGAAGAATATCTTGAAGAATAAAAAGAAAGTATGTTGCATGCCAATTGCCATGGCATGGATTTTGTAGATTTCATCAAATTTATTTGTCTAGTTAATGATGATGATGATGATGATGATGATGGGAATTTGATATTTGGGCAAGCAACATCAACGCGAGTCACAACCGACCCCCCCCCCCCTTCCACAGTGTATGTCTAGATGAAATCGTAGTAAGGATGATTAACATAAATTCAATTAAAATTTCAGCAAAGAACTAATTATAATACTGGCAATAGATACAAGCATGCAGGGCTCTAATCCTTGTATAAATTCATTTTTATTTTGTTTTCAAGTCTAGAGGTTGTCTGTTTATGACTTCCTTCCGCTCATCCTTCACGCTGGTTATTCTCTTTTTTTCTCGTCTTTCTTTCTTTGTTTGTCTCGTTAACAGGTGACAGCACAGAAGCACCTGCTAGGCGATGAGCCTCTCATTCATCCTTCAGTCAATAAAAGCAAATCTTCAGGGGTAAGTCAAAACAAATATTTGTAGTTATGAACTTTTATCCGAGGCCCATTTGCAATTGCAGAAAAAGCAATATGAAAAACCATCATTTTGGGGTGAGTTGTGCGTATATATTGCATTATGTGACCATCAAATGATGTCGGGACATAACTCCATATGTTGTGGTTTGTGGTATTCTACCGACACCACTTTAGATTTACGAATACTGCCATCTGCCGCTTACAATGTCCTGATCTCTCAACAGCCGTGTCCCACAAGACGTCCCTAATGCCTCAGTCATACCTTTGCGTATTTGGCTTGCGTATTGCTGCATATTTATGGCAAGCCGTTGTAAAGGTGCTATGTCTCATTTCTTGATATCAAGAATTACCATTGCTTTACAACAGAAAATAATTTCTTGATATCAAGAAATAGGAATACCGGTAAATGTTAAAGATGCTATGTCCCTTTTGCAGCCAACATCAAATTCTGTAGAATTTTGCAGGAATTATATGTATGTATGTCCTATCTGTGAAATGTAAACGTTAGCAGTGTCCTAATATTCAAATTATGCAAGGAAACCCGTTTACTTGCTAGACTTCACTGTCAGACACTATTGAGTGAGTGACTGATTGGCTTTTTTTTTCTTCTTTGGTAATAACATACATAAAATGAGCTGTAAAGGGTACATTAGCATTTGTCTACATCAATAACCCACTTCTTGTAATGGCCAAAATTAAACTGATTGAATCTTTGCACAGCATAAAACGCACGACCATTCAGTACAATGGTTTGAAAATCAAGACTATTACTTATTGGCTCTATAGATCCTAAGTCGATTTGACAACTAATATGCGTTATTTTCCCACTTAAAAACATTTTCAAGCCCCCCATTTTGTAGGGAAGTTCTAAGTTAGTATTATCTTTCAAATGCTGTTGGAATTTAACCTTTTCATTTTTTTGGCCTGCAAATGGGACATAGTACCTAATTTACAACGGCTTGCCATAAATACGCAGCAATATGCAAGCCAAATACGCAAAGGTTTGACTGAGGCATAACTGCATCACGTGCTCGTGACGTTGCACTACATACATGTACATATATGTAACATTTTTGTCTACGCTACCTTCTCTTTCTTTGTTTTATTATTTTGTACATGTACCGGTAAGTGGTGCTATATTGCAAATGAATAAGTCTATTATGTACTGTAATAACATTTCAAAGATTGTCTTGACATCTTTGAAAAGTAATCTTCAGATTGAGACTGCACAACATCACTTTGAATATGAAGCCAAATTGCCAATTTTCAAGACAAATAATTGTAATCAATATTTGATATTTAATATTTCTATATCTTTAAATTTGTTGAAATGCATGTAATGCTAAATATTCATCATTGCAGAAACATACAAAATTACTATGTGGTATATTCTTATGCCTTCTAAATGCTCTTATGTGCTGTTACCACTTCCAAGAATTCACCCACAATTAAATCTCTTTCTCGGCTAGCCTATACTTTCGTGATTTATTTTATTTCATTTATTCTAGCAGGATGGGAAATCCCACTCTTCAGTGAGTTTTTATTTTTATTTCATTTTTTGATTTCAGTTTACTTTCCAAGCATTTTGCTTTTTTATTACTTTGCATCTTGATCTCAACATCGTGTTACTGCATTTTGGCATTTTGCATATGTACATATATATTATATCATAATTATGTTGCAATACCATTAATCTGTCATAATTTGCCAAGCAATCGATCAGGCTTTTAATTGAACTTGAAGCTTTACCATCAATCTCCAGTGACATACATGTACCATGATAGTAAATTAGTCCCACTGCAGTCCCACTGCACTACTTATAACAGGGGGATTAGACCTCCCTGCATGGTCACTGATATATGGCTATAATCTCATCAAAGTACCTCTCCATAAACATAAGTAAAAGGGGACCATGGGGGACCAATAGTCAACGATTAGGCATTATTTGCTATATTATAGAGGGCGCAAGTAGCTATAAGTAGTGCAGTGGGGCTACGGCCTACTTACAAAGACAAAAGAGAAGCAATGGATGGATAAAATTGGTATTTTGCTGACCATCATAGTCACACCTGTATATTTTAGGGTGTTTGAACCAGAAATATATATGATCGCAACTTCAGTGAAACCTGCTTTAGCGACCACCTGTATAGGAAGGTCACCTGTCTATAAAGACCAAATTGTTGAATTTTCCTTGAATAGGCTTTGCCATTGAGGCATTGTAACATTTACAGTTTATTACAGAAACTTGTAAACAAAGCCCATCTGCCTATTAAAGACCAAGTTTCTTGTCTCCCTTGAATACTTTTCATAGAACGGTTTCACTGTACTTTTGAAAAATCAACTAAAAGCGATTTCAATGGCTTTCATACGTCACCTTTTGATACGTGAGAACATTACAATGACATACCGTAAATCTCAATGTATATGGCGCACTTTTTCGGTGCTATGTCTGGCAATGTCTCCCAGCTCAGTAATCGGTGTGTTGACTCACCACTCGGAAACTAGAACAACACTCAAATTTGTCTGTCATCTTGGTTTAAAAGTAATCTTTCTAATAGATCTCAATATGTAGTTTATAATAATAATTCCTCCAATTTTGCTTTGGCGTACCACAAGGTTTTATCCTATGTACTCTACTGTTTTTAATTTACATTAATGATCTTACACATTCTAAAAATGACATTGTTACTTTTATTTGTGACAAGTTCACAAGCACAAATTGACGCCTTCAACTGCACCTCGATGTTAAATGAAAGTCCTTCCCCGTGTGTGTTTTCGTTTCGGCAAAAAAACAATTTTTTTTTTTTGTCTTCAAAATAGGGGTGCGCCTTATACTCGGAGATTTACGGTACATGAAGTTGCGATAGTGTTATATATTATGTGTACTATAAGTGCACATTTAAACAAATGCAGACTTTGTGCTTCTTGCATTCCATAGCTCCTAATGACATTTGGTGTCATGTGGTCCATTCATGTACACATGCCTTGGCATCTTCATGCAAATTGTATTTCAAATCTGTCTTCTCTGCAATGAAAACTTTTTATGTTATTTTAGTAAAGTTGCGATTATCGCTTATGAATCTGTTATTCTTATCAGAAGACGGTAGAAATTATATGAAAGCATGATGAGTTGAACTGGTGATGAGGTTTTGATTTTGCATCAAATTGCAGTGTTTACTTTTTGTAATTTGTATGTTTTCAACTTTTCAATAACATACTTAAAGCCTATCTGCACTAGTTTGGCCAGGAGGGATTAGACCTCCCTTCATGGTCACTGACAGGTGGTTATCTAGAATCAAATCAGCTCTCAATTAAAATAAGAAAAAGGGACCATGGTGGACCAATGGTCACCGCTTAGGCATTGTTTGCTATATAGAGGGTACAAGTAGCTGTAAGTAGTGCAGTGGGGCTTTAAAATTAGGCCTCTAGCATGGAACGTCTAATTTAAACACAACTCAACCACTCCAGAGCATATCCTAAATATGTGACCCTGATTCATTGAAAATCAAGTGGCATTCTTGTGTTTAAGAGTAACAAGAAGCCCCATGGGTCTATAGTAGATAAATCTTGCATGCATGTCACAAGTTATGGCTAATAACAGTTACACATATTTATTTTATTATACCATTGAATTTTGACAAGATTATTTATGGGTAGCAGCAGCTACCCTAAAAAGATTGCGTATTTAGAACTTGTATGCTTGTCTATTTTCCCATCAAACGCTTGTCATTATAATCACAAAGTGCCTAAAAGCAAAAATAAAGTGTTTTTTCAGTATCACTGAGAACAAAAATATATAATCTTACACAGGAGGCTTGTCATAGATTTGGATGATTACATGGTTATTTATGATTGGTTTCCAGAATTCCAGTTTACCTTGAACAAAAATAACTTGTTTTTATGGCAACCAAAATTCCATTTGTTTTTTCTTCTCTATTTTACGGTTTTTGAGGATGTTCATTTAGATTTATTCAACTAATTTGCTTGTTTACTTTTATTATTGTAAGAATGTAGTAAATTGAATTGAATTGAATTAGATACAAATGATCTATGTTACTTGCGTGAGTTGCTTCATTGATATCAATCCGATTTAGTAAAGAAGTAGTTTATGAATGGTCTTGCATACAAACTGTATTGATTATCAACTCATGATCAAAATTAAATGCAAATAGAATCCATTCTTATATTATTATTACATATATTCATATCCGACTTTTTTAAAGTATGGCCATTTATTCATACAAAACATGAAACCAGATCATCCTTGCTTAACTAATTGCTTAAGTATTTGGGCCATGAAATGAAAGGGAGAATTTGATGTTAAACTGGAATGATATTTGTCAAGTTAGCTATAGAATTGGGGTAACAACTAACACCTAATGTAGGGGGAGGATGGGTTGAAACTTGATGAAATACTTCAACCAACTTCTACAATATTGTGATATTTAAATTTTTATGAACATTCCCTTTTAATAGGGAAACTTTAGTTACCCTGGCTTTGGCCCAGCTGCCCAAAGGCGTTGAAAGTATAAATTCAAGCGATAAAGTTCTACCAGGTAACCATTTACTACACCTGAATGAAGAGTGGCAAATGAAGATTAATAGTGGTTAACAATATTTAGTTCTTGGTGTGAACACATGATGTCTGTACTTTTTGTTGGTGAGAACACACCTCTGTACTTTTCACTTCTGTCTGTACTTTTGTAAAAATATGCAAGGCTGGAACATTAGGTAGTATAAATCAACCCACCATGGACATGCGATTTGTTGGCAGAGTATTTAACAAACGTAACTCACAAAATCAACAGATGCACAATCAGGAAGAATGTAAACAAGAACATCTCCCCCCAAAAAGTAGCTCAATAACAAGGGAAATGCAATATTAATAGGAGGGAAGGGAGGGGAGGGGAAGAGAAGAGAGGGGGTTGAGGGCACTTTATTGAAGGATAATAAGCCATTGTATATGGGGGCCATGGGACCAAGCTTGGCAAGAATTAGCTATTTGTTGGCTCTGACTGTATGAAACATACATTCAATTTGTACTTCCATGATTGTATGTAACCTTGAATTGTTTGGTAATAAATTAATAAAAATGAAATATGATATAAATACGGAAAAGAGCCTCTGTTATTTAAGAAATTTATGTCCACAAGTTGTAATGCATTAATCTTGTTTACAATAGACTGACAGTAAAAGCAGTCCCCATTAATCAATATATTGTAATCATTTAACTGAGAGACAAAAAAATCATGAATGATGATTTATAATACATATGATGCATCTTGACAAAATCAGATGAGAGTATTTTTTTTCTTTTCTTTTTCATCTTTCAAATAGATTTAAATTTGTTTTTGTGTACATTATGACATAGTACTTGTATTTCACCTATGGGATTTATGTATTTGCAGTTCAACAAAAGTGTTTCAAATATATGTCTGTGTCCTATATTCATCCATGTGTCCCTCTTGCATTCATGCAGTGTATGAATTAAATACAAACTTCCTTGCTTGATTTTTATCTGTTTCAATCAATTCCAGTGTGAATATTATCATATGTCCTTTTAATTGTCAAAAGCTCTTCATAGTCCCTCCTATATGGGACAAATAACATGGACTTGCTGTATTTTAGAAGAATTGTATTCATAAATCTAACTTGCAACTTGTTCCAATATTAACACTTGTTAAAAATTAAATCTTTATCCAATATGTGCTCCATCTTTTATATGAACTCTCACAATATATATTTTTCTTACACTGAAGAGTTTAGACGTCTTGGCATCTTGTTATTATAATAAGTATTGCAGTTTTTTAACAAACATTTAGCCACTTTGTTGTATGTGTTTACAAATGTCATCGTTTTGTGTTGTTTATAAGTTTTATGATCAAGGGAATTGTCTTGCCTTTGCTTATAAATCCCAATTTTTATGAGCTTTAATTAAAATGTTGATTGCATTATTCATGCTTTAGATTTTGCTTCATGGGCACTTATAGATTGGAATGCATTATGTAGACATTTATCGAGTCATTTGGGGGGGGGGGATGTGCATCAACCCTCTAAAAAAGAAGCTCTTGGCAACTTATTGCCTGACTGTAAAACCAGATACCGGTACTTTTTATGCATGAAATGTAAAGTGTTCATGAAATTCACAAGTGATTCAGATCGATGAAGTTTCATGCCACATAGTGAATAAATCACACAAATGAGACAACAATACATTTTTGCTTTTCTCCAAAGTTTCTTGCTTTAAAAATAGCAGTTGTTTACAAAGTGCGAAAGTTTTGTGTCTTAAAAGTTTCTGGTTTTACTGTTTTAAAACTGATACTTATAGATGATGGTTTCATGAGGTGCTGCCCTGAGCATCACAAAAATGCATTTCCCTCATTTCATTTCATTCCATATTTGCTTTCAGATTGGCAAAGAAAGACACAAGTTTTACAAATGTTTCCAGTTTCACTGTTTTCAAACTGTGTGTGCAAAGTGTGAAACCGGTGTGTTGGCTCAGTCAGTAGAGCGTCCGCCTCACAACCGGGAGGTCGTGGGTTCGAACCCCGGCCGCGTCATACCAAAAGACGTTAAAATACGGGAGTTGCTGCTACCTTGTTTGGCGTTCAACAACAAGGGATAGAGCAACGTCAATCTGGCGCTGCTCAGTGGCTGCCGGGCTCACAATCAATTGGGCAAAAAGAATTTCCATTTTCGGTTTAGCTTAATAAAATTTGGGGTGGACTTTTAAAAGATTTTTTTAATATTTTTATTGAAAATTGAGAAAAAGTACAAGTTCACCGACACCTTGTCGATACTTGCATCTCAATGGGTTGTCTGCAAACTTATACTTATAGATGATGGTTTCATGAAATGCTGCTCTAAGCATTGCAAAAATGCTATTCCCTCTTTCTATTTCATATTTTGCTTGTCAGGTTGGCAAAGAAATACTGTATTGTAGGAGAGAGGCCATCATTTGGAACCACGGACCTGTTTCACAAAGCCTTTTTTCAATGACAAATGACTAAAATCAGTGACAAATCTGGTGATAACCAATCAGAAGCAAGGATTTCAGTAGCTTATAATAAAAACTGTCATTTGTCACTGATGACAAGTTTTGTGAACCCTCCCCCCCCCCCCCCCCCCCCCCCAGGCCCAGGACTTGGTCAAGCGGTTCAGAAATGACAACCTACACATCATTAAATTTCTGTACTTTCCAAAAGGTTTTTTGCCTAGATCATGACCATCGCTTGCAAATTTGCAAAAGTTTCATCTCACAACAGTTTCTTGATTTACAGATGATATTCTAAGTGTTCCCGCGGACTTGAGCTTCAAATATATATTAGACCTTTTCCTTTTTCCGTTTTGCTTCTCAGATTGGCAAAGACTGCATGGTAGGAGAGAGGTCCAGCATTGGGGACCAGGTCTCGGTCAAGAGGTCCATCATTGGACGTCACTGCACCATCGGGGACAAGGTCAAGATCAACAACTCGGTCATCATGGACCATGTTACCATTAATGAAGGGTAGGTTAAGAATACATCCAAGTATGACATCATCATCATCATCTTAATCACTAACATCATCGTCATCCATCATTATCATTATCATTATCATCATCTTCATCATCATGATCATCATCATTATCATCATCTTCATCATCATGATCATTATCATTATCATCATCTTCATCATCATTATCATCATCATCATCATCATTATCATCATCATTATCTTGATACTTGATACTTGATGAGGTAATCCCTGAAGCAGCTTTTCCAAGCTATACTGGGATGGGATGTGTTGTGACAGCAGGTGAAGGTGCAGACAACAAAAGGGTGTACAATTGCTTTATACAATAAAATAGTGACGTGCAAGTAAAAATAATCATGCTGCTATATGGTTTACAGCATTCTGGAACCTACAGGAGGTTCCAACCCTCTGATGACAGGGAGGGCGGTCATCTGGAAAGCAGCAACTGTTGGGGCAGTAACTGCAGTGAATGGTAGTTGATTCCAGATGCGAATGGTGCGGGGGTAAAATGAGTACTTGTAGGAGTCGATTGTTGCCTCAGGAACAGAGAGCTTGAGTGTGTGGTCTCTTCTGCTGATGTATGTAGCTTTGGTTATGAGGTGAGGAAGACAAATGTTGACTAGCTGGTGGTGTATTTTAAAGAGCATGGTGCTTTGTGCTAGAAGACGACGTGTGTGCAGTTTATCCCATCCCAGCTGGGAAACAAGCCCTGTAGCTGACGTGGATCTTCGGTAGTCGCGGAAGACAAAACGAGCAGCTGTTTTCTGTACCCTTTCCAGACCTTCGGCAGCACCAGAAGTGTGGGGGTTCCAGGCTTCAGCGCCATACTCTAGCTGCGGTCGAACCAGGGCTGTGTATGCTCTTGACTTCACATCCTTGGTGCATGGTGACAGGGTTCTCCGCAGCAACCCAAGGGTTTTGTTGGCCTTGTTCAGTAGGAGTTGGCAGTGTGTATTCCATCGAAGGTCCTTGGTTACAGTTACCCCGAGATACTTGTACTTGTCTATCCTGGGTATTATCTCGTCGGAAATCTGGTAGTCATGCTGTATTGGTGTTCTTTTCCTCGTGATGGTAAGGGAGGCGCACTTCTTGACATTGAAAGCCATGAACCATTTCGCTGACCAGTCAGACAAGGTTTGAAGGTCTTGCTGAAGGATGGAGGTGTCATTCTTGGTGTGAATTTCTCTGTAGATCACACTATCGTCAGCAAAAAGGCGCATCTTGGACTGGATATTTGCAGTGATGTCGTTGATGTACAGCAAAAAGAGGGCTGGTCCGATCACTGAACCTTGAGGTACCCCAGAGGTAACAGGCATCCAAGATGACCGGGAGCCCTTGACAACAACTGCTTGCTGCCTGTTGGAAAGTAGCGACATAGTCCAATGTAATGTGTCTCCTCTTATGCCATAATGCTCGAGCTTGGTCTGCAAGTGGCGATGAGGTACTCGGTCGAAAGCTTTCTGGAAGTCAAGGAAGATGACATCTGTTTGGCCTCTGCATTGTAAGGTGTGTGCCCAATCCTGGGTAGCAGAGATGAGTCGTGTGGTGGTGGAAAGTTTCTGCCGAAATCCATGTTGGTCATCTACCAGGATGTTGTTGGCAGCTACATGTTTCGAGATATGGCTGAGTACTATGTGTTCCATTAGCTTGCTGCAGATGCAGGTCAAGGAAATAGGCCTGTAATTTCCTGGATCACACTTATCACCGGACTTGTGGATGGGTGTTACCAATGCATGCTGCCATTCAGCTGGAACAGTGCCAGAGTTGTAGCTCTGCTGAAAAAGGAATCCTAAGGCAGGAGCAATCTCGTCAGCTACAAGCTTGAGGAGTTTAGGTGGAAGTTCGTCTGGCCCACAAGCTTTGGATGGGTTGAGATTTGACAGCTGCTTTGCCACACCAGGACGATGAATGTGTAGATGGCCGATATCAGGAAAGTGTGAGGAACCTTCCATACGAGCATTACAAACCTGTTGGTTGGTGAATACCGAGTGGAAGAAGGAGTTGAGACACTCTGCTTTGTCTTTGTTGGTCGTGTGGATGCCTTTGTCAGATCTAAGCGATGGGATTTCCATATTCTCAGTCCGACACTGCTTGACATAGGACCAGAAGGTCTTGGGGTTCCCTTGCAGACTGTTCCCTATGATGTTGTTCACGTAATCGTGGTGTGCTTGGTGAACTAGTTTCGCTACCACGTTGCGATGCTGTCTGAAAGCATTCCATTTTGACGTACTGGGGTTTCTACGGGCTTTCTTAAAAAGCCTATCACGCTTCCTCATTTTTCGTTTGAGGTCGGTGGTGATCCACGGAAGGTGTCGCCGGGATTTGCTCATCTTTGATGGTATCAGATCCTCCATACACTTCTTGAGGAACACAGATATCCTGTTCCAATTCTCATCTACAGTTTGGAGCTCTGGAGATGAAAGGAAGAAATTGATTGAAAACTTTTCAACAGTTTCTTTAATGATCTGGTGGTCTGCTCGGTGGAATTGGTAGATCTTCCTGGGAGGGGCACGGCTGTTTTCGGATTTCCTGAGAAGACGAAGGACACAATGTTGTGGTCTGATATGCCAGGATGAATGGATACATCTGTAATGAGGCCAGGGTTGGACGTCAAAAGAAGATCCAGGATGTTACTAGACGCAGGACGGGTTACATCCCTTACCAGTTGTGTCAGTGAGAATTCCAATAAGGTGTCAAGCAAAAGTTGATGGATGCTTGCACGGTTTGGATTGGTCAGTGAGCAGGATTCCCAGTCGATGTCTGGAAGATTGAAATCTCCTCCAATGATGATGTTAGGGTGACTTCTTCTGTGTTTAGTCATAACCTTAGCGATGGAGAGTTGGAGTTCCTCAAGGTCTTGCTTTCCGTTACTTGGGGGATGGTAAAAGCTGGCTATAAATAGTGGCTTTGCGTTGGTGAATTGTAAGTTACACCAGATGATTTCACTATTTGAGTTGAACTCCGGACAGTTGGTTAAGATGAGAGACTCATGCACTGCTACAAAGACACCACCCCCACGGTCGTTTCGATCTTTCCGGAATACTGTGTAATTTCTAGGAAATACACTGTAAGTAGGGGTTGTCTCGTCAAGTTTAGATTCGCAACCAAGGATCACATCTGGCTTGTGATGACTAATCAATGCTTGGAATTGAGAGTACTTCGCAGAACTTTTAAGACCATTGCAATTGATAATGACGCCCTTCAGGATCTTCCTGCGGTTTTTAGATGGTGAGAAGTGAGGGCGTGGTGGTAGCCTCGATGCATGACCAGATGACGCTGAAGTTGGTGTTGACGTCTGACAATGATATTGAGCATCATCGGATGTGTCGCTGATGCTTAATGACTCAAACTGATTGCTTGTGGAGAGGCTGGCATTGCTGCTGAGGGAAGCTGCTGTTTCTGCATTTATGCTATGACATCTGCAGCAGACCCACGAGAACCTGTTGAGTCTGGCGAGGACTTCATATGATTGCTCAGAAATACCATTGCATGTAATATGGCACCACATGTTGCAGTTATCACAGAGAAGAGCTTGGTCATTGTCCGTGACATTCGCATTACAAACAGCGCATGGGAATGTGTCTATTGGCCCCGGGTTTCGCTCGACTTGGCCGCTTAAGAGTAGTAGAATAGCGAGATGACTAGCAGAGCGAAGATTCAGCACACTGGTTGAATTTCTCTTATACTGAAATGCTTGAAGAAGTAGCAATGTGCTTGATTTGCATACAAGGTGCACGTCTGCTTGAGGGCAGAGAGAGGTATCCAATGAGCGAAATTCATGCTCATGATGAATATCCTGCTGAAAGAATGGCTTAATTATCAGTAAGCCTGTGCTAGCAATAATCAAGAAGACCATGATGACAGGATGTTTCCATGATGAGATCATGGCTGGAGGAATATGTCTACCCATGCTAGATGTAGAATGATATGATGTTGCATACAAATGTACAATGTACAATGCAAGTCGATAATATACACTGTTACTGACCGGGATACATGAAGTTGGACTACTTTTGTACTACTATTTACTAAGTACTATTGTAGCAATCTCAGTCTAGTCTCAAAAAACCAGCATTAATTCAAATTTATGACAGCTTCTCACTTCAAGTCAAGATCAATTATGCTCTCAGACTTGCCATCACTCTCATGAACATCATAGAAGCGAAGAAGGAAATGAAATCGATACTTGCAGAAGACTTGCAGAAGTTGGCTTGTGGATGTCAGTTACCAACGCAAGAGGTAGTATGTGGGGCTGGTAAATCCATTTGCTTACTGTGCAAAGTTGAGAAGCTAGATTGAAATCTGCAGATTTTTGCAGATTTTCACGATGACAACCCAGAATTGTCAATTAAAATTGATTTAATGTGTTCACAAGGATATTGGCAGTTAGCTAATCATGTGATTACACAAGACAAGCATTCAAAAGCAGAATTTAAATGAAATTTTTGGCAGAGAATTTGGGAGTGCAACAATCACCCCTGCTGACACAACACAAATCATCATCCATCATCATCCATCATCATCATCATCATCATCATCATCATCATCATCATCATCATCATCATCCTCCTCCTCCTCGTCCACATTATCTCATCATCATCTTCCTTCTTATCCTCCTCCTCCTCCTCCTCCTCCTCCTCCTCCTCCTCCTCCTCCTCCTTATCATCATCCTCCTCCTCATCACCATCATCCATCATCATCATCCTCATCATTATCATCATCGTTTAGTACCTTTTTTCCCATCCTGTGGCTGTAGATGTCCCATTTACCTAATATGGCTTTTCTTCAAGCCTACCGGTCTTCAGCATCTCTTTAGGTGAAGCTAGCTGCTCACTTATCGTATTCTTCACATATCCTAAATATTTATTGCCCATTTTAAAGATATTTTGACACTGAACAGTACATAAAGATCAATTGTTTATTATTAGATTAGCTTTAATAGAATGTAATACAAAATTCCTCTGACTTTTGCGGGGTGTACAAAATTATCATGGTCTTTAGTACAAGAAACTAAATGTTATCAAATAGAATAAGAAGAATTCCATTCAATGACGAATATCAATCTAAAGTTAATCTCATCTAACCCATCACAAGTTCAATGATTTGACATACAAAGGAGCATCAAAATGATTTTTTGTTTTCCTTCTGAAATTGGTCCTGCAGAGAGTAATCTAATTGGAATGTGAACTCCTAGCATCCAACATCATTCACAAAAATAAATGTTCCCAGAAATATAAAGCAGGCTGCAAATACATCGGACCTTGAACTTTAGCAATCTAAGTTGTTGTCATCACTCAACATCAGTCAATCTAGGCAGTTTCCTAGAAAAAGTAGGGTTTGGTACTTTGGGGCATTTCAAGATCTTTATAGGTAATGACATAGGATATTTGCTGGGTGGAATTGTGAAAACACCTGTATTTCAGATTTCATCGGTGAAGGTATCCAGGAAGTCTGGGAATAATGGAAAATACGTTCTCATGTTACCTTGCGGTGAATGTTCAGTGCTTCAAATAAATGATATGTCAGAACATTTTAGATAATTGAGGAAACTGTACAACCAGAAACTGTCATTTGCACTAAATATTTTCAAGTTGCACAAGTTGTTTCAGATTCGCGATAGGTTCATTCCGAGAAAGTATTGAATGGTAATTGACAAAACTTGCTGTTAAATTGGCCATCCTTAACTACATGTATTCGAAAAAGTTGACACAACACTAAATTCACATGTTCATGATGTATAGGTCAGGTATAGAAAGGTATAAATTTGCTCTCTGAAAAGAAAAATTGTCTTTAATTATATCACCCCAATACTATCATGTGGTCTCTTGAAAGAAACAAAATCATGTAAGACATCTAGAAATCTTTTCCCCAGTTCCTCACAGTCATAGAAAATACTCAGTTTCAATAAAAACATGACAGCTAAACACTTTACATGGTACCTTTCCACTGCTGAAAACCCTTCTTGACAGCATGCTGACTCAATGTACTCTCACCTATGTCACATTTAATTAGAGGGATATGACTGTAATCATAAATAGACGATTGATTGTTTGAACATTCAAAAAGAATCATTTCATATGGAGAATTAGTTTTACTAAGAAAAATCCGCTCCAATAGTTCCCCCCCCCCCCCCCATTCCATCATGAAAAGTGTTAATTATATTTGCAGAATTCTTTTATAAATGCAGGTTGGTTTTGTTGACTGAGAGATGGCGTGCTTCTATCTAAAAATATAGTATGTTTCTTAGTAAAAGGGGTGTAAAGAGGGATCATGGCTTCAATGTCATAACCAGATGGTGAGGAGTGGGTGTCGTAATGTTGTAATGTTGATCAGGATGTTTGTACAATTTTCCATCCTTTGCACTCTTCTCTAATTCTTTTCATTTCATTTTCATTAATTTCAAGTCCATTTAAATATTATTACATAAAAACATACAAAGACAAATGACAAAAAAAATGAAGGATTTCAGGCAATGGAATGTTCATTTGATCTTTCCTTCTTTTCAAAATTTCTCTTCCTTCCTTTCCTCATTTTTCTGTCAAGGTATGATTTACACTTCCCCCTCCTTCTCTTCCTTTCTCCATTTTCCCTGGCCTTTTTTCTTCTTTACCCCCTCCCCCCCCCCCCTCTCTCTCTCTCTTTCTCTCCCTTTCTCTCATGCTCTCTCTTTCTCTCTGTCTGCCTGTCTCTCCTCTCTCTTTTCTCATTCTCTCTCTCTCTCTCTCTCTTTCACTCTCTCTCTCTTCTCTCATTATCTCCCTCTCATTTTCGTTCTTTCTCTCTCTCTCCTTTGAATGTTTGTTTTCTATTTTTGTCTGTGTCTGTAATTTTTATTCACTATCTCTATATCATCTCTCTCTAAATTGTCTTCCTCCTCTTCATCCCTTCCCTATCTATTTTTCCTTCCTCCACTTTCTACTTGTCATCCTCTTTTTCTTTCTTTTATCTCTATTGGTCTCTATTTCTCATTTAATTCCTACTAATTCATGATTTTCTGCTATCATTCATATTTATATTAATTCCAATGTACCAATATATTTTTGTCCTTACTTTGTCTCTCAGATGTGTCATACAAGGAACCATTCTGTGTCCCAATGCTCACGTTAACAAGAATGTCGATTTAAAGGACTGTATAGTCGGAGCATCACAGAATGTTGTGGAAGGTGGTACGTATAGTTTTAATGTCACTTATACTGTATTGACTATTACATATAGATAGAGTTCAGTTATTCTTAAAGTAATGGTAATGATAATGTGCTTGTATATTGTAAACAAGTGCTATAGCCTGCCTAGGATGTTACATCTTGTTATTCTGATGATTTTTTTTTTCATTCTTTTTCTGTACATGTTCAATTATTTTTGTATGAAAGGGTCCATTTTTATAAAAGAAACAGCTTCTGTCTACTTGATAACTTGTATCTGTGTTGTATCCTTCCACCTTCCGCTGCCCACCCCAGATAAATTAGTTGTTTTGCTTTTTGTTCAGAATAATTTGTATCCTATTTTTCTCATCTTACAGCATCCTACAATGGAGAAGTCATTGGAGAGGGTGACATGATGATGGAGATCTGATTGGTTTCAATGGCAATAGGACACTGATATCTCCAGCCAGCATCACATTACCTCAAGACAGGCTATAGAAAATGGCATTGCAGGATTCGGTTGATGAAATGACTTTTAAACCACGTTTGTTCTGTCGGATGGACACTCCAGAAAAATTCTGCATGAAGCTACAACATCTGCATTGAAGTCACACACACACACCTCAAGAAGGATCATGTTGTGGGATATGTATCTTTGGGATGCACACTTGAGGATGTATGATCTGTCTCTGAGATGGGCTTCAGGGAGAATTGGAAAGCATGATCCATCTCTATCGGATGCATATTTCAGGAGCTTCTGGAGGATGTTCATCCCAGAATAGGCAGCAGGATCCTCATTTGTAGAGTGCATACTCTGAGCAGTTCACTATCTGAGAACCTGACTATAATGATGACCTGTTTCTGTGGATTCACACTCCCAGGAGAAATCAGGCTGCATGATCTTTTTCTGTGGAATGCACTCTCCAGGAGAGATCAGGCTGTGTGATATGAGTATCTGGGATAAACACTCCAAGAGAGATCAAATGAACCAGCATCCAACTGTTTAGAAATTTTTCTGACAAATCATGTCAAAATATATACTAAAGCTTCTAAAGATAAAAGAAAGTTTGGTTGCTCCCGGCCTACTCTGGGCCAATCAGGTATAATACGACTACGGACCGCAGCATACATGTGCGTGCAACATACGTGAAACCGAAGCGTGAGGAGAACTTCAGTCTGTTTCGCGAACGCTAGCGCGCGCTAATCCAGTTAATCAAGTCCATTCGTTTACGTGCAGTTGTCCAAAGAAAATGTAGATGGCGTTAACCAGTATTTGCCATGATACACTCCCTTTAATATCCTTTCCTTTTATTTAGAATATTTCCTTTAGGATATCCAAGATAGAATTTCATCTCTTTCTTTTTCTTTTCTTTCTTCTGTTTATGTTGAATTCAAAAGCGTCTTTGAATTCTAAGCTCTGAAAACATATTATCCTTAAAATCAATCATGAATTATGCAGGCGTCACTAACTAGTTTGCCGCTATTTTCAGACATGAGATATTATCCCGAAGCTCAAAATTGCGTCTTCACCAGACCGATGCGCTCATCACAAACTAGCTCAGCTCAGATGGGCAGACACTTAGGAAACAAGACTAAGATGTCTCTTGATATTTTCTCGACCAAATATCCCGCTAATTGCAACTGCGGCCTGATGAAGACACAAATCAGCTGGATAATTTGCGATTGGGATAGTTAAAATAGCAGGTTATTTGGCAAACTCGAGCAGATGAAGACAGGCCTCTTCATAGAATTGTTTTCCACTCTGATCGGTGTAAAGATATAAAAGATAAAGGAAAGGGGACTCTAAAATGTAACAACATTGTGCAGTACCATCTGTTGTATTGGTTATGTTTGTTATTTTAAGTGTTTCTTCCAGCTTTTTATTTGTTGAAAGTTTTCTGTATTGCTTAGCAATATCATGTATGATGCAAGTGTGAATTGCACTTATTTAAGATTTGTATCTTCTGTGTGGTTTCTACTGAACTGAGCTTGAGTGACCTAAGAATCTTCTCTGGCATTGCAAATCGAAGTGAGTAAAGGGATATGCATAGTTTTTACTGAAATTTGTAATTCAAGCATTTCTCTAATGAAATTTGAAAAGCAGCAAATTAACCTCTATGATAAGAATGTGGTAAATTGGTCACCAACAGTCATCTGGGAAAAAAAAGCCTCTGGAGAGGCTGTTGCCTAATAATAATTAATAAATAGTGATCAGAGACATGCCATAGAACGGAAATTGCAGTTGTGATGGGTTTTCTTTTAAAACAAAATAATCTGTCTCTCTTCTTCCCCCTCTAGTCCTCCCATTCTCTTCCTCGTGCCCTTCCTCCTTGTTCTCCCCCACCATCCCCTCCCCTTCCCCCTCCCTTTCTTCTTCTTCTTCTTCTTCTTCTTCTTCTTCTTCTTCTTCTTCTTCTTCTTCTTCTTCTTCTTCTTCTTCTTCTTCTTCTTCTTCTTTTTCTTCTTCTTCTTCTTCTCCTCCTCATCCTTATCACACTCCTTTATTTTTTTCTTAATTTCCCCATTTCCCCATGATCATTATAGTAGTCGTAAGACAAGGAGTGACATTATCTTGAAAAACGCCCCCCCCCCCCGCCGCCCTTCCATACCCTTCCCTTAATCGATTGCTCTGCATGTACAACTTATCTGCATTTCATGCTCCCGAGTTAGACTGACCCATGCACCCCCCCCCCCCCCCAAAAAAAAAAAAAACCCAGTAAAAATCTTTATTTTAATCCTGGTATTTACAAATTTCCTGACAGCAATTGCGGATTTCAGGACAACAATTTGAAAGTCACCTTCTGCTCCCGAGCTAAACTGACCGATGCCCTCTCCCCCGTAAAGTTCTTTTAAAAAGTCCAGGTATTTACAAATTTCCTGACAGCATTGACGATTTTCAGGACAATTATTTCAAAGTCACCTTCTGCCTTTAACCACCCAGGATAATTAATTAATTATAATCAGGAGACTGCAATTATTTGCTTGACTTCTTTGTGAAAACAAGACCTCCTGGTTTTAAGGTTTAAATTTGAAAATAGGCGAACCTTTTTTTATTGCTGGGCGACAGGTCTAAATTAACCAGTCCACCACGTGCAGCGCTGTCAAGTATTTTTCTTCCTTATTACTCTTTTTTCTGTTCAAACCGTTTTATTTCGAGCCCAATTATCGTTTTAATCACAGGATGTACCGAAACAATATCATAATACTCGTTTTCCCGAATGATTTCTCTTTCACGTGTTCGAGGAAATTGTTTTAGGATGCAACTGAAAAATTGGTTGCGACACTTCTGTTACCGATAATGAGCGCGATAGACAATCTAGCGTCGTCCCGAATCAAGTCAATAGTTGAGGAAGGTGACAACAAGATTGTGAGTTTGAATGAATATGTCCTTGAGGCGACATTTTCTTCCGCAGAATTTCATGCTTTTCAGCTGTTATTCTTTTTTTCTTTGTGTTTTTCTTTTCCATAAGTATGACCTTTTTTGTATTTTCTTTTGTATATGTTCTTGCCTCCTCCTGCCCCTTGCGCACCCTTTCCCTCTTTCTGTTCTCAACCATTTTCTCTGTCTATTTCTCAATTTTCTCTCTCTGCCTCTGTCTCTGTCTCTCTCTCTCTCTCTCTCTGTCTCTGTCTCTCTCTCTGTCTCTCTCTCTCTCTCTCTCTATTAATCTCTGTATCTGTTTCTTACCTAATTTGATTCGTTATATTTAGTACCAATGTCATAGATGGATGGATAGGTCATAGGTGTGGGACGAGTCCCCTCCCCCTCTTGAAAAAAAAAGATTTGTAGCTATCTTTGGATTGTGTATTTCCAGTTTTTCAATAATTTTGCCCCCTTCTTACAATCGTTTATTAAACCTCTCGTTGTCGATGTTCTGTAACCTTTTTTGTCCTTTAAATGTAACGGGCAAAATATCAGTCAAACTTTCAAATTGTGTCGTTCCTTTCGTTTTCACCAGACCATTATTTGTATCAATCATTAGATGTTAGTCTAACATGAGCAGTTGATTTCAACTGAAGAGAAATTAGCGCATTCCTGGTACCCATTTAAGAAAATTACCTCTATCGAATTACCTCTATCGATTCTCTTATTATTATTATTATATAAGCCTTCATATACATTTTATCATTCATTAAGAACATATTCACTTTCTTCCTGTCAAAATATCCTTTTGCACAATTTTGACGGATATTGACCAATGACCACCGAATATCTGATATAGTGGAAAGAATGTAGACTGGTTTGAATTAAATGTAAAGGGATTCAATATTGGCGAACGGCCACAGAAGCGTCAGGATTTGATGTATATTTTGCCAGAATATCAACCGCACTTCCAAATCTTCTGATTATTAAAATGGGGAAGACTCGAGAAACATTTTGACAATGGGATTTCGACACGAAAGTGGACATGAGGTAGATACAATATAAAGCATTACAAAACGAAATGACGGTTGCCCCAATATTGGTAATTTATTATCATTTGGGAAGGGTACGGCCATCACCCCCCCCCCCCCCCCACCCTCTAACCTGGTGTGTGCAGGGGCGTCGCTAAAGGGTAGGTGTGGGGTGCGACACCCCCCCCCCCCCACCCCCCTCCCACCTGTCAGGATATTGACGGTAAAATTGTGCTGCCGTCGGGGAAAATGAGAGGGAAAGGGAAAGAAAAGAAGAAAAGAAAAGGAAAGGAAAGAAGAAAGAAAGAGAAAAAATAAAAAGAGGAAGGAGAGGAAAGAAAGGAAAACGGAAGAAATGGGGGGGGGGTGAAAGAGAGGAGGGAGAGGGGTAAGAGCCTTAGAGAGGAGGGTGGGAGTAAGAGAGAGAGAGAGAGGGGGGGGTTTGGGTGGAGTCATTTCGTCGAAGGAGCAAGAAAGATACCCATACGTTGCTGAATCGGGTCAGCTGCGCCGGTATTTATGCTGGACCCTCGTGTACTATATCCATGCAGAAGTTGGTGAAATGTATAATGTTGGTCGGCCGGCAATTTTTTTTTACCCTACGAACTGTGACTATTTATCCGAAGAGACGACTTTGAGAAAGACTTCAACTACAGGGGGAGCGGTGGGGGCGGTCCCCCCCCCCCCAAAAAAAAAAAAAAACACCGGCAAAAAAAAAGAGAAAGAGAGAGCAGAGAAAAAAGTTCGGAGGAAAAATAATTTTGCCCCCGGTCCCTGGTTTATAGAGTTAAATTTGTAGACATTGGCATTAATATATTTATCAGTAATTGGTAGCTAGTTTTGTCGGTAATCGGTGGCCTCTACCCCCCCCCCCCCCCCCTCCACCGAAAAAAGGTCTACCGACGCCCCTAAGTGTGTGTGTATATGAATAAAGGGGTGGGTTACCGGTCCAATGTGGGATGTTATACAATGTTATGCATGGACTTTGGTGCTTATCCTCTCCGTAATGGTGTAATTCATATTCTTCACTATTCCGTTTTCTTGGTGGAACAGGTGTAGTTCTTTGTCTAATATAAATGACACCATAGATGTATATGTCCTGCCATGAACATGTACTTTTTCTATCATAAGGCCGATTTTACGCTCGTTTTGGTTATTCGAATATTTGACACCTGCCCCCTCCCCCCCCCCCCCCCCCATCTAATTTTTTTAAACTGACAATTCATATTTGCTTGAGCTTTGATCTACTTGCACAATATGTACCTATCTTTGTTTTTCAATTTTACATGTTTTCTACAGAGGGAACTTGTCCCTTTTCAACCATCTAATGGTGAAAAACAAAAAACAAAAAATGGGGAGGGCGTCGGGGGAGTGGGCAAAGGACGAGAAAAGACGTCTGCTCCATCAATTCGGCGGCCTTGTGAAACGAAATCCGGATGAATGACCATTTCTTTCCAAAGGAAATATCAGTCACTCATTTTTGTTTTTTTGTTTAACAAAACGGGAAATTACAGGTACTTCCACCCGACGGACGTATTACACGTACATACTTACAGAATGCGTGGGCATGAAATAAAGTACAAGAAGGTGAAAGTACATACATATTAATGATCCATTTATTCGCCAAAGGAAATATGAATCAGTGGGAGCGTTGACACTGCAGGGTTTTTTTTTTCATTCGGAACATCTCGCAATGTAGACAAAACAGCTACCTCAAATTTAATTTTGTTTGTCTTCGAATGATGAGATACTGTTACGAGAGGGTGGTCAAATTTTCCTTTTGAAATCTTGAAGACATGTCATGAACTATTATAAAATATTATCAGACCAATGTGAACATGCTTATGCAGGTATAGATGATGTTTCTTTGGCACCGTGTTCTCGTTATCTCTCGGATGTCCGTGGTAGAAAACGATACATCCTCCCCCTCTCTCTCTCTCTCTCTCTCTCTCTCTCTCTCTCTCTTATTCTCTCTGTCTCTCTCTGTCTCTCTCTATGTGTGTCTCTGCCCCCTCTATCTTCCTCCCTCTCTCCCCCCTCTCTCTCTCTCTCTCTCTCTCTCTCTCGCTGTGTCCCTCTCTGTCTCTTTGGCCTCCTCTCTCTCTCTCTCTCTCTCTATCTCTCTCTCTCTATCTCTCTCTCTCTACTTTCACCTCCCCCTCTTCCTCTCCATATTTTACATTCCCTCTCTATTATAATATATATATCTCCATCTCTTAACCTTCTCTCTCTTTCTCTTTTCGTCTTTCTCCTCCCTCTTTAAAGGGTGGTATTGGGGTTAAGTAGGTCTCCGTCCCCCTTTTAGCAACATGACCTATACGCCCATCTCTAGCCCCCCCCCCCCCCCCCCCTCCCTCCGATCTCTCTTAAACTACGAGTCTATCTTCTGTGAACAGGGGCGTAGACAACGGGGGATGAGGGGGATGGCATGTACAATCATCCCCCCAGGTTTTGGGGAATGATATTTGCTTACTTAATAAGTTATAATGATGATAATAATAGTAATAATAATAATGATAACAATTATAATATTAATAATAATAATAATTATGATGATGATAATAATAATCCTCATCATTATTGTAATTGTGTTTATTGTTATTAGCCGCATTCACAAGGTAAAAGCCAATTCAGACGGTAAGAAAAAGAAAATCTTACAAGTATTTTGTGGTTATCTTGTGGTTTGGAAACCACAAGATAACCACAAGATTAAACAGGCGCGGATCTACGGGGAAGGTTAAGGGGGTTTAACCCCCCCCCCCCCCCCCCTTGGGCGGCCCAAAAAACAAACAAAAAAAAAAGGGGAAAAAAAAAAAAAAAAAAAAAAAAAAAAAAAAAAAGAACGCACGCTGGAGAGAAACCCTTTCAAGTGCAAATATTGTGAGAAGATATTCAACTCATCTGGTACTTAACCAAACACATGATAACTCTGGATATAACTGTGTATTTAACTGTTACTTGATTTAAAAAGACGTTATCATGCACTGCTTTTTATGGTCTCCATTGTGTTAATAGATGCCAGGAAAACATCACTTACGGGTTCAAATAAACACCCCCAAAAAAAATCGGCTCGCCGCTTCGCGGCTCGTGGACGATGCTCCGCATCGTCATTATTTTGGTCAACCCCCCCCCCCCTTAGCAAAAAGCTAGATCCGTCCCTGAGTCATCCCCCCAGGTGTACAAACCTGTCTACGCCACTGTCTGTGAACGTCTGCACCCCCCACCCCCTCTCTCTCTCTCTCTCCCTCCCTCTCTATTTTCTCTCCTTTCCTCCAACTTCTTGAAAGGAGAACTTGACTCCAGGAATGATCATAAGAACGAAAATATAAGATAGACGCTTCCAATTACTTTAAAGTGATAGTATGCATTTGATCGTGGTCATTCATGAAGTTATATACATGTCATGTATAGGAGAAAAGTCACTTTAGGTACATAATAAAATTTGAAATTTTGCATTCGTTTGTTTATTTGGTTTGCATTCAACATGTTCAGCTAATTTTTCTTCTTCTTGTGTCTGCTAAATGTTGCACATCTACCATTTGATGTCTGCATCATTTTCTGTATAAGAGTAAACGAATTCTAAGCGACTTTTTTGGCCTTTTCTGACGTAACATAAACAGACCAAACTGTCTTCCTGCATTTCAAGTTCAACGGAAGCCGGGAAAGAAATTTCTGAAAAGTCATCCCCATATATTTCAATGAAAAACAAAAGTTACTTTTACTTTATTTGCCAAAAGAAAGTCCGGATATGTCCCTTAAATGACCGTGACACGAAATAGTACACCCGAATAAACATCTCCGGTATGCTACCCTGCTGGTAACAGTCTTATTATCTTACACCGTGGCTAGTTTTATGTGTCAATTCCACCCTAAATATGGAGTATGGTTAAAAGAGAAAGGTCACTGTTTTAATAGGGTTACTTTGACATCGCATGACATTGTTTAAAACGCCTCATTTTCCCGTGGATTTTTGGAAAGCTGGACTGGTAGAAAGTTGAAGCGGTTGCCTCTATATACCTACACATAGCCTATGCCCTGATCGATGATGAGGGTGACGATGGCGTCAATGACATCGTGGTGTGCCTTCATCGGTGGGTGTTTGTTGGTGATCGTTGCTTCTGAAGTATGTGCATTGTCGGACCCGAGTATACAAGGTGAGTAAAGCTACCTATAACTGCACTGCATATGACAAATTGTGAAGGCCTACTGCATGGCTAATTTTAGGGATGGGCTCCTAAAATGTAATGATACATTTACATTTGTTATATCCTCATCGATCGAAAGTTCTCTGTTTAATATTGATCGTCTGTTATTTTATCATGTGCAGCGTTAATGTTGCGATTGATATTTGGAATTTCAAACTTGTCTATTATGAAACGGGGTCCTTATTTTACCCTTATAGCTTGCGGTATATGATAAGCGCAAAATCATCTAACATTTTGTATTACTTGCCCTATTTAATGCGTACGAATTTGTTGAAATCGACAGTAATTATTCCACTTGATAAATATCATGCACAGTATATTACTATAAGTCTTCCTGCACTAACGCCAAAGGATAGATCTTTATACATGTAGGCCTTTTGTTATAATGGTTATTCGATATGGGTGAAGACAGTACGCTGTAATATTGTTTCTTTGCTCATGTTTTATTTACAAACACATACATTGACCCAGTGTGAACGATGGTAATCCTGCAAAAGGGGCAAAGATATATTACCGCGTGACAGTGGCGTAATGAGCAAAAACGTTTGGGGGGGCTGACAAAAAAAATCCGAATCACCCCACTCTAACATGCAGGCCCCGCTGAATTACCGACAAATATAAAAATGCCAATGTCCAAATGTCTACAAATTTAACCCTTTAAAACCGGGGCCAGGAACTAAGTTATTTTTCAGTTTTCCCCTACCGCGCGAAGCTCGGAAGCCTTGACACTTCATTAAACTATTAGAGAAAGAAGACGATCCGTTGTACTGTAATCGATTCTAAATTCTTGTTTCGCCCGTCACGCGCGAAGCGCGGAAGCTCTGACGTTTCATTTAATTATTAGAGAAGGAAGACGATTCATTGTACCGGTCCCGACTCTTAATCCTTGTCTGAATTCAGTTCCCCCCCCCTCCCGCGCTAAGCGCGGAAGCTTTGACGTTTCAATACATTATTACTCTTAATCCTTGTCTAAATTCATTTTCGCTCATCCCGTGCGAAGCGCTAAAGCTTTCACGTTTCATTAAATTATTAGAGAAAGAAGACGATTCGTTGTATCGTGTTCTTGTCTGAATTCAGTTTCCCCCCTCCCGCGCGACGCGCGGAATCCTTGACAGTTCATTAAACTATTAGAGAAAGAAGACGATCCGTTGTACCGTTCTCGATTCTTAATTCTTGTTTCGCCCCTCCCGCGCGAAGCGCGGAAGCTATTACATTTCATTTAATTATTAGAGAAAGAAGACGATTCATTGTACCGGTCTCGACTCTTAACCCTTGTCTGAATTCACTTTCGCCCATCCCGCGCGAAACGCGGAAGTTTTCGAGTTTCGTTAAATTATTAGAGAAAGAAGATGAATCATTCATTTTCATTGTACCGTTGAACCGTTCTCGACTCTCTTTGACGTTTCAATAAATTAATACTATTAATCCTTGTCTGAATTCATTTTCGCCCATCTCGCGCGAAACGCGGAAGCTTTCAAGTTTCATTAAATTATTAGACAAAAAAGACGATTCATTCATTTTCATTGTACCGTTGAACCGTTCTCGAATCTTAATCCTTGTCTGAATTCCGTCCCGTCCCCCCTTTCGCGCAAAGCGCGGAAGTTTTGTCGTTTCATTTAATTATTACTCTTAATCCTTGCCTGAAATCATTTTCGCGTTTTATTAATTATTAGAGAAAGATTAAGACGATTCGTTGTACCGTTCTCGACTCTTAATCCTAGTCTGAAATTAGTTTCCTCCCCCCCCCCCCCTTCCCCTCCCGCGCGAAGCGCGGAAGCTTTGCCGTTTCATTAAATTATTAGAGAAAGAAGACGATTCGTTGTACCGTTCTCTACTCTTAATCTTGTCTGAATTCAATTCCCCCCGCTGGGCCCCTGAACGGTATATGTGCAGTGTTACATGATGTTAGTATGGAACGCTCGTTCGCAAATCTGTGCATGCTCAGCCCGAGTGGTGGGTAGCATGCTATCTCCCGACAGTGCTTTGCACAGTAGCTTCTGGAAAGGAATTAGTGTTACTGTTAGTTATAAGGCCCTTAGTGACTATAAAAAAAAACATTATGCTCTTCCTGGCTATTTGGGAATGGGTCAGTTTGCAAGAAATAATGGAGAAACTCTAGCATTTTGTTGAAAATAATGTGATATCACGAACATTTATACATTACTTGTGAAAATAAGTCAAGGTTCAATTTTATTTGGGGGGGCTGGCGCCCCCCAAACCCCCCCCCCCCCCACCAGTACGCCAGTGCCGCGTGAATCCTTTAATTAATTGACATCTAATTTGCGCTGGACAGTTTGGGATTTGCGCACCTAAAAGATACAAGCTGTTCCTTTTGTTTGTGTGTGTGTGAAATTTCAGTATGGAAAGGTTTCCGATCAGTCAAAGTTGCTCTAAAGTACAAATACAAAATGTATGAAAATAAAGTTAACCCATACCATGATTCGAATGGTAAAACCAATGGAATTATGATTTTTAAGGGTGAGCCCATTGTTTTGATACATTTATATTGAATTATTGAGCTTTTTTCTTTTCTTCAATAGACGATCGTCAAGAATTATCTTACTGCGAGGGAAACAGGTCTAATGGATTTCTGACCCCCCCCCCCCCCCCAGCCCCAAAGAAGAAAAAAATTGTCATAGAATAATATCTGGCAAGGATTAGATTTGCTCTGTTGTTTAATTTGGTTTGGCCGCTTGAGAAGGAGGCTGGGGCACGTGCCCCGAAGACCCTCCCCATCCGCCAATGTTTATAGTCAATACATTTTGTTTTCAATTCTATGTCTTTATGCGATTGTGTTGCAGATGATGTTCGCTTCCAACATCAGCTACAATCAAAGGGCCGTAAATTTGTCTTTGCTTTCATGGACAACTGTCTTCGAGAACATACAGATGTGGATCTAGGGCCGAAGCTGACCATTACTGCACTTCCAGATGGCGCACCCAACGTACAGGTCAATGTGTCTATGCCTCATCTAGGATTCTTTGAATCGGTGTCCATTGCCGCAGGGTCGCAGGTTAACGTTCAGCTTCCTCCATCTGCCATTGCTCTTGGACAAGGGTTGCATGAAAATGGTGTCGGAGTCGATGCCAGCGACGACATTTTCGTCTACGGGATCGCAGAGGAGGGCCGTCACGCCAAGACAGAGGGTTACCTCGCCTTGCCGGTACCCGAGCCGATTTCGACCGGAAGTGAATACACGGTCGTGTCAATGGAGCAGAAGAAAGGCAACACACAGAGGCATTCGACATTTGCTGTAGTCGGAGTTGAACGGTCTTGGGTCGCCATTGATGCAGTTGTAACAATAACATATGAAAACATTACCTATCAACCAGGAGAAACTATCAACGCATTCTTAGACCCGTACCAAGTCATACAGATGAAGAGTCTGGATGACCTTACGGGCACAAGGGTTCATTCAACATCACCGGTCGGGTTTATGTCTGGAGTTGACTGTGGCACAATGAAGCTTAGGCATTCTGTCAGAAGTGGATGCGGTCACATGGTGGAGCAGCTTCCTCGCAAGAAAGATTGGGGACAAAATTTCATTTACAGAACCCTCAATGGAGGACCCAACACGCGTCGGAGTAGAGACCAGATTGGACCGGTGGATGACGTCGTTACCAGGATCAGGATCATACCAGCCGAAGACGACACCCACGTCGTGTACGGTACGGACAACGATGAACGTATTGGAAACGATATGGACTTTGTGATCAGCGGCAGCGAAACTGTTCATATCACAGCTATGAAACCCGTCCTGGTAGTAGCGTTCATTCTATATCACGGTGCATGTGAGAGAGGCTGCAGGAAACGATCTCCCACTATGGTGACTATCCCACCGCTGGCGCAACCTGCCAACGATGTCATCTTCAGCACCGTCAACGCAACGGACAGAAGAGAGGATGCGGAAATGTCTCACTTTGTGAGCGTCATGTACGACTGCGCATGTTTCCGACGTCTAACTTGGGAAAATCCTGGACAGTCCGAAGTCATCTCGGAGGGTTTCGCTGCCATCAATGATCAAATTTGTTGGAATCAGTTTCGGCTGACACCAGGTAGTTATCATCTGACAGTGACTCCAGATGAAACGGCGGCGCCTTGCATCTTGTCTGCGTTCTTGTTCGGGCACGGAACGAACGGAGGCTATGCTTTTCCTCTTGGACTTGACAGAGCATATGGTAAGATTTTTCTTTAAAAAACCAAGTTATAGCAACCTATTAATGAAGATCATTATATTATGTTAATTGGGGAGAAAACATAGTCGCAAAGACTTTCGAAAATATACCCAAGACCTTGTCCATCACCTATTAAAATATGCGAACATTGCAAAGATGTGTTACGTAATCCGAACGTTATTTTTATGGGATTTACTGTACAATAGGGTATTGAAATCGTCCTTGAGTTGATTTTTCGAAAATGAGTAACGATCGTGTTTACCGTTCATTATGTTAAATGAGGTCAAAAGACGATCACAAGACTTTCGAAAAAAATAACCTAATGAATTGTCCATCACCATGATCACGTATTGAAATGTGCGAATTCATTACAATGCCCATTACGTATTAAGAACATGATTTCTATGGAATATAAAATAGGGTATCGAAATAGGCCTTTCGTGCTAAATCGCTTCGAGGTGGAAGTGTATGGTTGATATGTAATGAAGTAAAAAATCAAATAAAGAAACTTTAAACAAAGGTAGAGACACAACTTTTATATAAAACCTAGATCATCAAACATAAATTATACAAGACAATGCAGGACCTAATTTTAGCATGGATCTACTCCATCGCTCGAAGTAATCCTTAATTGGTAATTCTACAAACCGAGTCGAGAGCCTAGAGCTATGCGAAAATATTTATTAAATCAGTTCTGTCTTATTTTTACCTTCTACAGTCTCACCAGCGGATAGAACTGTACCCACTTCTGCAGTCGGGGATGAGTTTTTCATCGCGTTTGCTGCTTATTACCGAGGAAACCGAAGAGGCCCAACCCTGCTCATCCATCGAGCTTCTCCTGCAGAGGAAGGAAGAGCGATCCAGGGTCAAATCGATGCGGGAGCATACTCACACAGATTCGTGATCCCGATCGGGACACCAAGCATCGAGATCGAACTCCCAAACCGTGTCGTGCTCTACAACACCCGCAATGAGTCAGCGAACCCGGTGGAAGTGAGAACGCAGGGCCGGGTCTTGCTGTATGGACTTAACGATGCGTTCAGCGACGAACGGTCTGATGCCTACCTTGCTCTCCCGACTCCGATGATGGGTCAAGAATATCGCCTGGTGACCTCGCACGAAAGCACAATTTTCGTTATCATCGGCCTCTACGATGATACTTTCGTGGACATGAGGCTGCGAGGTAGCCTGTGGTTCAGGAACCATGTCCATTACGGTGGTACGCGTGTCGGCTTCAAGATCAAACGTCACCAGGCGCTTTTCTTCATGTCCGTTGAAGATCAGACAGGAACCCTAATTGTCGCGAGTAAGCCCATCTCTGTACTGTCAGGTGCATCGTGTGGACACTCTTACTATCGGTACCAGGACGACGAGAGTGGATCACGATGCGGACATAAGCTTGAGCATCTTCCTCCGGTTGAGCGATGGGGACACCGGTTTGTTACCTCGGCGATGCGGGGCTACGACGGCGGGGAGGTAACGACGTACGTTATGGCTTCCCATCAGCATACAAGCATCAGGTTCAATGACGATGAGAATGAGATTTACATCCAACCGGGTCATACATACAGGGTAAACCAGAATAACACTAGAGGCCTTCACACTCTCATCACGTCAAATTACTTTCCAGTTCTAGTCTACCAAGTTCCGAACTCACGCAACCTCACGCATAGCTCTGGCTACTCGCTACCCAGCTTGACGATTGTTCCTAGCGTAGATGAACCCGCCGAAGACATCCAATCATCACGCTGGCCTATTCCGTTGGCCACGTTCAACCTCCGACGCATGAACACAACGACCAGCTTCACCAACGTCGTTGCCCCATGTGCAGCAACGTCAAACATCAGCCTGAATGGAGACGCTCTGGAACAGTCCGAGTGGTCTGGACCAATCGCAGAATCCGATTTATGCGCCATGCGGAAGCAACTCCAGAACGGTGGTAACAACTGGTTGGACCCGGGTGGTGCCAAGGTATCAGTGGTTCTGTATGGTTTCTCCCCTGCTTCGGCCTATACATGTCCTGGTACTATGTGAGCGAATACATGTACTAGTGAAATGATTATGATACCGGCATGGAATCATACAAGCTCTTATATCAAGTTATATTTGTGATAAATATGATACATAAGGAATAATTAATAGAGATCATCAGCATCATCACAGATGGTCTAGCAGGAGAATAATAAAGTCTATTGAAGGTCACTTTGCTTACATTTGTTGGGTGAGATTCGGAGGAGTAGATCCTTAAAATGAGACATTAGTAAAAGACAAAATGATTTTATAGTCTAAAAGTGATTCTGAATTGCATAACTTACTTCCTCAATTATCTGTATATTCTTCATTATCGATGTTATGTTTATATCTGTATATCTATATGTTCAAAATCATCAACCCGTTTCATTATTGTCCTACTCTAATCGTGGTCGTTCTATTTTCGTCGTTTATATTGTCTTCTTAATCAAAAAAGCATTGGTTAGAACGCCTACAGCCATAGTCTGTGAGCGAGTAAGGCGAGAGTGTACATATTAAGATGGAATAGTATAATATTTCATAACCGCCATCATTATCATAAAAAGGTGAATTATTTCAATCGTGATCTAGCATTTACTTTATGGGGGTTTCGTTCTTCTGTAATTTGTGTCATGAATCGATTCTTTACCTTTAACAGTTTTATGTAAAATTTAAAATACGTCCGCTGCCCGTAAAAAGTCGGTAAGAACTCTGTATAGTCATTGGCAGAAACAGTCGTCATGCGACTAGCTGCACAAATCACTCTAAAGGAAAAGATAATCAAGATTACGTGCATGGCTGGTGACATTGTTTTATGAATTTTAAATTCCTCCTCTAATGTTCAGTGTTGACATTTATATTTTTTCTTAAAGAAAAAAAGCACACATTAATCTTTCCATTAAAGGCCCACTGCACTATGTGTAGCTACTTGCGCCCTCTATATAACAAACAATGCCTAATCGGTGACCATTGGTCCCCCATGATCCTCTTTTTCTTATGTTATTTGAGAGCCGAGTTGATGAGATAACCACCTGTCTAGTGACCTTGCAGTGTGGTCTAATCCCTCCTTTACACTAGTACTGATGAGCTTTAAACTTGATCTATAATAACTCAGTCACACAAACGAAACCGACACCAGACCGACAGCAGACCGAACCAACAAGTACATTACCACGAATTGCCCAAAATTGGTCGGTTTGGATTGGGTGTGGAGTCGGTCTAGGGTGTGACCGAGGGTTTTTTTTCGCCTTTGATTATGATGTTATGAAATACCTCCACGACCACACCAAAATGTGTATTGTGCATTAATTTGTTATATCCTATGTTTAGAAAAAATGACAGTTTTATATACAATTGCATATTTTGTTCTTGACTACTATTTTGTTCTCCAGTACTTTATGGTCAAATGAATCCCTCTCCCGGAAGGTACCATGACACGCTAGTTTGCTTTGACAAGCCGTGGGTTGCGTGCGTCAGAGGTAAATATTGATAATGCCTGGATAGTTTCTTAGAAAGCCAAGGTGTTTTTGGATCAAGTTTGGCTATAACCTTGATCTTTGGTTGGAATGTCACAGCGGTAAGACATCTCTTCCAGAAAAAGATGGGAAAAGGGAGTGTAGAGAGAGAGGGATAGAGAGAGATGGGAAGAGAAAGTAGAGAGAGAAAGTAGAGGAGGGAGTATGTGTATACGTGGATAATGAGGCATGAACTTGAGAGAGAGAGAGAGAGGGAGAGAGAGAGAGAGAGAGAGAGGAGGAGGAATGAGAGAGATGGAGAGAGAGGGGTAGAATGGAATGAGAGAGATGAAGAGAGAGAAGGGTCGGAAGAGAGGGGGTGGGTGAAGAGACATGAACTTTAGGGGGAGAGGCAGGGAGTAAGAAAGAGAGAGAGAGAGGGAGAAAGTGGAATGACAGAGATGGAGGGAGAGAAAGGGTGAGGAGCAGCTAGAGGCAAGTCCCGGATACAGAGACATAAGGAGGAGAGAGAGAGAGAGAGAGAGAGGATAAGAGAAAGCGTAAGAGAATGAGATAGATAATTAGAGAAAAGGAGATAGATAGAGAGTATCTTTGCAGCTGTCGCATGTGGGTTGTTACGCTTGAAGATATGTGGAGAACACAATTTTGAATGTTTTAAAGGAAAGGGGGTCATTTATACTTTTATTTATAGAAAAAGGGTAATTCCCCCTGAAAAATCTTAAAGCCCCTCTAAAGTGTTGGGAGCCCTAAATTCGCCAAAAAGTTGATGGCAAAAGATTTCCCTAAAAAAATGAGTTTGAAGACAAATGTCAATAAAAAATACCTAACTTGGGTTTTTTGTTGTACGCAGAAAACCTAAATCTTGTATTCTTTAATCAATATTTGATTTCAAACACATTTGTTCGAAAATCCTTGCAGAGATATGTCTTAAAGGCCATCTGTACTAGTTGGACCAGAAGGGATTCGACCACCCAGCGAGGTCACTGACAGGTGGCTATCTCATCAATTCAGCTCTCAATTAACATAAGAAAAAGAGGATCATAGGGACCAACAGGCACCGACTGGGGAAGTTTTCTATATAGAGGGAGCAAGTAGCTACAAGTAGTAAAGAGGGGCTTTAAATTACATCCTCTTCCACATTATGACACAATTTAAGTGAAATTTTGCCATCGAATATTTGGGGCTCCCAACACTATAGACATTGATGTGTAATATGCATGTAGTTAACGGCGAAAAACGGCGAAAAACGGCGAAAACTGCTACCATCATTCTGGTATTAACACACGATGTCATCTATTCCAAATTGACAAATTATTTCCTTAAATGTTTCTCTTTTTGTAACGCGTTTGGAAATCATTGATAATGGTTCATACCTTTAAAGTGATTATGTGATGAATGTGCTACCCCCTCCCCCCCCCCCCCTTGTAAGCGATGTCATTTGTATTGCCCAAGGTTAGAAATTCGTTTTTAAAACTATAAAATATTTGATGAAATCTGTTTGTCATTTAACCACCATCTTTAGAAGGATGAAGAAGAAAAAAGGAGTTTAATCCCGATACCTCGCGCTGTCTGTCAGAGTTTCACGCATCGTATTTGGTTGCCGCCTTACTTTTTTATCAAGTCAAAATAAAAAATTGAAGGGTTATATTCCTATAGTAGTGCGTTGAAAGAAAACCGCTGATTGATTAATCGATTGATTGATTGATTGATTGGTCGATTGAATCCTGATAATCAATTGATGTAGTGTTTTATTGATTTGTTTATTTCTTGATAGATGTTTGATCAACATTGACCGATGATGTATTGAATTAATTCATACGTTGTTGCCTCCTGGATCCGTCATTGGTACTATTTTCATTGACAGTCATGTATTTTTGTTCTTTGCATTTTTAGTATATTAGAGTATAATTTAACTGCGCCGTTGGTTTCCTCAGTAGGATAATCATTTTCAGGAATGGTTTTAACGTTACAAATAACAGAAGATCGGAGATGTAAACAAAGAAAGAGTATAGGTGTGGGTGTGGGTGAGTATGTGTGTGTGCGCGGGTGAGAGAGTGTTAGTGACATGATTTGAACACATGCCAAACTGGTTATGATGTGTACCTCACCTGCTATGCCAAGAGTGATGCAAACCCGGACGGAACGGGGGAATATTAACCCAATCAGGCCAACAACAAAACCAACCTTACTGTTAAGCCATCGTTTTGAAAATCGAGGTTTTTTTTATTGGAAGAATGTTGGAGACCCTGTGTTTCATGGCTCGAGTTTGAACTTTTGCGGTTTGACCGCTAAAATGTTGTTTTGATCAGGGAGACCCATCTTCAATGTACGACTGCCAACCACAAGGATGTTTTTCTACTTCTACACGTAGCTCCGCGATTCTTCTAGGAGCCAGAAGGGCGTTAACCAAAGAGGTTTACCACTGGGGTAACGCCCTTCTGGCAATCAAGAGACGTGGTCCCTATAATTCTATCCATCTCTCATTTTCTTCTCCCCCGAGTTTACTTTGCCTCCCTTCGTTTGTGGTTGAAGCAAATTTAAACTGAAATGACGACGTAATGTGATTACCCTCAATTTTAAAATTTGCTTCCAGATCATGAGGTTCCTTTGTTTGTTCTGTTTGCTGAAGCTGGGAAATAGGTGGGGTTGATGTTAAACTTTTAGAGCTACGTTTTTGTGTACATTATAGGAATGATCTGCAGGTACAATGTCTCTGTGTTCAATCATATAGATTTTAACATGTCCCTTTTCAGCTCCCGCTTTCTCAATAACGCTCTTTTCGTTTGCCCATTCTTTTCTCTCTGCATTTTCTCAGTATAACTTAGAGACTGGTATATTTTGTTGTCGGTAAAATTCAAAAAAAAAAGGAGAAACGTTTATTGTTACATGTTGTAAAGTTTGTGGCAAACGTGTAGGCAACTTTCTATATAAAAAAAAAAATACCCCCCCCCCCCCTCCATCCCCAAATAATGTGTGAGCCAACGCCCAACGCCCAACGCATTGAGCATAATGAATAGTTTGTAGTTTTGATCTAACTCCCTGTTTTGATGTACGAACTACTCAACGGAAGGACGCTCCCCTTTCCTCCTTCGGCGCTGTCTTTTCCGCATCCCTACTTATTGTCTCACATCCTATTGTTCTCATTTTTGCACACACACACACACACTCTCTCTCACACTCTCTCTCTCGCTCGCTCTCTCTCACTCTCTCTCTCTCTCACTCACTCTCTCTCTCTCTCTCTCTCTCACACACACACACACACTCTCTCTCTCTCTCTCTCTCTCTCTCATTCTCTCTTTCTCTTCTTCTTATGTCTATCTGTAACAATAGGAAGGTGTAATCTGTTTCGCTTGTCATCTCTAAGGGTTAAGGTGCGCAATAATGTACTACGGCTGTCATTGCTACCTCACGGGACAGCCTTCACGTAACGTGATGGTATGTAGCAGAATGGAAAAAAATCGTAAAACTCATAAATATCAATCGTCACTTTCCATCACGTGTATATAGTCGTAACATCGATCCGCACCCCACCCCTCTCGCTCCATCTCTCCTCTCTCTCCCGCTCTCTTCTTTCAACCCCGGTCTTGATCAATGCTACACGGCCCGCTTGTCTTTCAACTCGCCCAATTGTCATCATAACAACGAGTTAAAGAGGAGAGAAATGGGGTGGGCGACGACGTAAAAAGCGATCAAGGTGAAAAACATTTGGCAAAAAAAATCTAAAGCGGAATGCGCGCCTCTTGCTGTTTCACTTGGCCGTTGCGAGTCGTAAGCGAGAGACATGAATGCTTAGGAGTTTCATTGTTTCATCGCACCTTGTCCTCACCTAAGACATGTTCCTAATCAACACGAGTATGCCATCACAGTATGGTAGCAGTTTGGATGTGTCGGATGTCAAAGTCATACTTGTGTTTTGTGTTAACATAGCTCCATGAGCATCCCGATGTGAGAATCAAATATCAACATATTATCGTAGTGAGATAGTTTAGCGAAAGTGTGTCGAAAATTGTGTAGTTCATCTCTGCATCGATTCCAACTTTGGAATAACTGATCTATTCTCCTTCTACTCTTTTGGAATCTGTAAACATCAAATATGTGCCCTACCCGTTCGCATCCCTCCCAGTTATGCATCCTCTGTTTTGTGTTGCTATGCAACTGCATCCATCTCTCGGCTTCTCCCACTCGCCTCACAGCCTGGCCAAAGCTGCGGATATTCGGAGGCAACGATATTCATGAGTCGCCTCATCGTGAGATACGCCGCTCGACCGAGGCGTCAACCCCGTCGCCGATGTCGTCGGCGGGTTCGAATCATCTACCGTTAATCCAGACGTCATCATCTCCGTCAAATAATTCACCAGGGGGTTCATTGACCCCATCATCGGAACCTGTAACGCCATCTTCATTTGCAGCGTCGTCATCGTCGCTGGACATGTCATTTTGCCCGAGTTGTCGCATGCGGAATCAAATTAAAACCGATGTCGACGACCAGGAGCCGAGGTCACCGATGATGTCAGCGGCTGAGAAGGAATACCGCATCCAGACCCTCAAAAGAAACATTCTAGAGGCCCTGCATCTTGAATCCCCGCCACTTGTCAAAGCTGATGCCCCGAGCGTTGACCCAAAGGTCATTGAAAGGATCTTTAGCGAATCAGAAAAGGACGAACCGGAGGACGACGAAGATTTCAAACATGACATCGAGAAAACCAACAAGCAACTGATAGTAGGTGTTGCAGGTAAGTTATCGTCTATAACGTTTCTTTCTTTTTTTTGCTTGTGCATAGAGCAAAAAATTATGCTTCGCTTGTGAGCGAGTGAAAATATTCACTGTGTTATTTAGGTTGGATAATCTTTGGAGAGCGAAATTAAACCTTTTGCCCTCTTAGCAACTCCCCATTTTATAAGATCAATAACTGTCCGTCGAGCACCTCTTCGAGATGCCCTTTTTGAACGTTGACAATATTTTGTGCAGAAAAAAATTGTTGTAGAAATAGATTCATGTTGGTTGTTTTTCTTTGTTTTGTACCGTATGTACCTGTTTCGATTCGATCATGTTTTGTGGAGCATACATGTACACAGCTCTCCTTGTTATTGAGGCAGTGCTGTTAACAGATTACTACACTTTCTCTATTTTCAACAGCTTAGAAAAATCGTGTGCTAAAAAGTTATTGCACTATATCTTACGAAGATTACATAGGAGGTTCGCAAGGAAAAGCTGGGTTGTCACATTTGAATTCATATTTCACAGTCGGTCTTTCAGTAATTTGATGTTCAGTAATGTTGGAACTGTTATACCTTGTTATACATATATAAATAACACTTGTGAACTCCTTCGCTGTTTGAAAATGGTAACACATCGTCTTATTTCTTAAAACCGTAAAAGTCATTAGGTTATAAGATGCTTCAGATCTTTCCTAATTATTCACGAAATAATGTATTTCCGATCAATGTCGGAAAAAATATTGACGATCTTTGTCCGGCATCCCACCCTCCGCGCCGCTATTAGGCCCCGCCCCCCCCCCCCCCCACTCATTGTTATTTAGGGTACGCGTATGCCTTGTCCCTCCCTTTGAAAGCACCCCCTATCTCAGGGCTGTCAACATTTCTGAACACCCCTTTCGCGGGCTTTTCCTGCCTTGGTGACCCCCCTCCCCTAATCCAGAACACTGCTAAATGTAACCCCCTATCTATGAAATTCAAGATATTTTATAACCCCCTTTTTTAAATTTCTCAGGAATCCAAAGAGAGAGAGAAATAAAACACCCCTTTTTTAAATAAATCTCCGAGTGAAAAGTCAAAATAATACACCCCTTTTTTAAATACAATTCTCGGGCCGGACTTTGTCGCGCCAAAAGTACCCCTTTACCGGAGATTTTGGGAACACGAATGCGGTCCCTCCGACCCCGGGGTGTGGGGGGGGGGGGTATTAGGCTCCCGGAGAGGTTGATTGTGCAATGGGGAGATGGCTTTTATCCCGAAAAATATCAGAAGCTTGGCCTTTTTGCCTGGAGGCATAGTAATGTGCGATGAAAGAAAATGTGACAATGCCGGTAAACGCACTCTAGTGTGTATCCAGCCTTTAACCAAGTCGGCCCGCTGGCTCTCTCGCTAGCTATATAGAGAGATGTAGAGCAAAGCAAATAGCTAATAGACGAGCTGTGATTAAAGACCTTTGAGAGGCAGGAATACGGGCATAATATTAAGCCTGAGGGCTCTGGAATATCAATTCATATCAAGTTAGGTAGGCCTAATCTTGCGAACGAGTGAAGCGAACAAGCCACCATTTTCGGCACCTTACAATGGTGACAATGGTGACACTGTAATAATTATGCCCTCGCAAATATAACCCATACGGTACTGAACGTACAGAAAAATATATGCCTGAATATCAACTCATATAACTTTTCAATCGGGGGAGGGGGTGTTCTCCGGCGTCCAATTACAGGCGCGTAACCAGGGGGCGGTGGGGCGGTCCCCCATCCCCCCCCCCCCAAAAAAAAAACAAAAAACGCCGGCCCAAAAAAAAGAAGAAGAGAAAAAAGTAAGAAGACGTAGGAAGATTAAAAAATGAGCAGACATGGACACATTTCTTTTAATTCAGACAAGGATTAAGAGTCGTGAGCGGTTCAATGAATCATCTTCTTTCATTAAATGTCAAAGCTTCTGCACCCCTCCCTGCACCCATCACCCCTAGGGATGACATTTTGGAGTGGATATTTGAACATTTGCTATATTAAATTGCCATATAGGGTCCAGGTGTAGCTTTTGGGGGCGATTATCAGAGAGTGATTTTGTTTTTCTGGGAAGTATTTATTGTCTGGTAGTAACTAGTAATTGCCCTTCCTACTAACTTCCTTATGTTGTGTTTCTTTTAACACTTTCATAAACAGACTTTTGGTTAAAGACAGAAAATGTTGTGCATTTTCTTTTTTCATTATTTTCTTTTTCTTCTTTTTCTTCTTCGTCACCGTAACCTCATCTAGGTGAGATGGGTGGCTATGGCAACGAGCACACGGTCAAACTGAGTTTCGCCATACCTGCTGACGTTCAGCGTGCCAAGTCTGTCAAGGGAAAACTCTGGCTCGGCCTAGCCAACTCGTCGAGCGCCACCACGGGATCACTTTTCGTCATCCAGAGGTTGCATCGAAAATACTACGGCACCCATGTCATTGGTGTCCATCGCTTGGAGAGTGCATCACTAGGGACTTGGATCGGCATCGATTTGTCACCGACTAGGTGGTCAGCCAGCGAACCGGCGGTAGTATTGGAAGTCATTTCAGAACCTGCCCAACAAACCGTCGACCTCTCTGCCGGCGCTGTTCTAGAGGTCAACATGATGACGCGCGAAGACACTCACCATCGGCGTACGCGCCGCGGGATCGAGTGCACATCAAATAACCCGACAGGTTGTTGCTTGCAGCCGTTCTCCGTCCATCGAGACGATTTGAATTGGAGTTGGCTCATTGCTCCGACAAATATCCAACTGAACTACTGCCGAGGGTCGTGTGATTCGGGGACTAGCCCCATCTTCAATCATTCCAGCATCTTCTACGCGCACACTATGAGGCAGATCAACAGTAGCCTTCGCATGCGGCTCCTACCTTGTTGCACACCTAAGCGCCTCGGTGACGTTCAAATGCTCATCAAATCCGGTGACGACACAATTTATCGCAGGACAATACCAAATCTGATGGTACGAGAATGCGGATGTGCGTAGCTCCGCTTAACTGCGCGCGCGCTGCGCAACCGGACAGTGCCGGATACCGGATTTAACAAATCAATCATCCGATATACACAAGCGTCATTTCATCTTAAACCTGAGGCAAGTGTTTTTTTTTTACAGTTAGGAATTTATTCAAATCTAGGGATGGGGGTGGGCAAGTTGGCCTATATACCTACCCATATACACTTATATGCAAATATACATACGTTTCTCTGAATTTCTCTCATATTCTGGCCCACAACCACAAATTATTGAAAGATTTAATCAAGGGCACCCCCCCCCCCCCCCATCTCTCTCTCTCTCTTTCTCTCTATCACTGTATCTGTCTCTCTTTCCGTTCTTTCACAATTTCATAGGGGGATCGGGTGTATGCGTCCCCTCGTTCGCTGTAGCGACGTCGTTACCCTGGATATCAGATAATTATACCAAAAATGAATACCTGCTACCTAGGTAGGTAGGTAGCCCCACTGCTGGTTTTATGCATTCGAATGATGAACGACCGAACGAACACGCCTGGAGAGGGCGGCAAAGCTTTGGTGTAATTCCTTCTTGCATACCTGACAAACCAGTGTGATCTGAAGTTGGACTATTTATAGTGTGTGACAGCACTGTGTGGCATTATGTGTGAATCGCTCTACGTGCAAACTGAAATTTTCATCATCTATATTCATAGATTTGCTTTCATAAATATGATATTCGTAATGATACAATATTGCATCACGATTGAATGTATTTTCACTACCAATCGCTAACATATATTTTTGTCCATCGATTGATGTAGTGGTTTGTTTATTCAATTCGATTCGCAGAAACTTTTCAGCCATGTTCTGAAGCAATGTGTTCATGTATCTTAGTTGCGTCTTGGACTGCTTGTCAAGAATTAAGATTTTGGGAGGAAAATTCCAAGATTTAACATTTGGCGTCAAAACATGTTGTTATTATAATTATCATTATTATCATAATCATTGTTTTTGTTATTGTTATTTTTATTACTATTATTACTGTTATTATTATTAACATTATCTTAGAAGTAGTGGAATATGTAGTAGTAGTAGTAGTAGTAGTAGTAGTAGTAGTAGTAGTAGTAGTAGTAGTAGAAGTAGTAGTAGAAGTAGTAGTAGAAATAGTAATATTCTCTTAAACTTCACAGGTTTTCTTTGATGTTTGGGTTATTTTTTTTTTAAAGCGGGACTGCACTACTTGTAGCTACTTGCGCCCTCTATATAGCCAACAATGCCTAAGTGGTAGCCGTTGGTCCCCCATGATCCCCTTTTTCGTATGTTAATTGAGAGCTGATTTGATGAGAAACACCTGCCAGTGACCAGGCAGGAATTTCTAATCCCTTCTGGCGTAACTAGTGCAGATAGGCTTAAAACCGACAACTTAAAGCTTATCTGCCATATTTTACAAGAGGGATTAGAGCGCCCTGCAAGGTCACTGGACAGGTGGTTATCTCATCAACTCAGCTCTCAGTTAACATAAGAAAAAGAGGATCATGGGGGACCAATGGTCACCGATTAGGCATTGTTTGTTATATAGAGGGCGCAGGTAGCTACAAGTAGTGCAGTGGGCTTTTAAACAACACAAAAAGACTTGGCATAGTCTCTAAATAATGCTAGCTGTATATTTATTAAGCGGTACATTATAAAATGTAAAACTGCCTGTCTTCGTATAACGATGTTTTGTGCATATTGTCTGAATGAGGACAAGATAATTATTGATAGTCATCTACGTATTAAAATGCAAAAAGTATATAATACTAGATATATACAACTTGTATATTTCTTTCCAATGTTACACTTGTTTATACGCGGCCTGTTCTTATAAGAGCTTTCAATCATAAGAACAAAATTTTACATTTTACATATTTTTTTAAAACTACATTTAAATATCGGTCTACTGCTTTAATCCCACTGAGTTCAGGCGCGTACACAGGAGGGGGGTGGGGTTGGGGGTTAAACCCTCCCCCCCCCCCCCCCCCCCTTGGTATTTTTATGTGTGTAAACCTCCCCCCCCCCCCCCCCTTTGGATTTTTTTTTTTTTTAATTATTAAAAAAAATATTTAAAAAAAAATAAAAATATGCCCATGGCTGACCTAAAAAGGTGACCTTACACCCCCCCCCCCCCCAACGGAGCCAAATGTCAAATTTTCAAATTTCGAGACCAAAAAAAAAAAGTGTCCTCTAACCCCCCCCCACCCCCCTCCCCCCCCCCCCCCCCTCCCCCCCCCCCCCCCCCGCTTATATCAGCGGTCGGCTGAGTCGTTGCGAAATTTTCGGCCCGATTTATAAATGTTAAACCCCCCCCCCCCCCCCTTGAAAAAAATCCTGCGTACGCGCCTGACTGAGTTTGTGGTAATCATGCAGTGCTTATAAACAGTGCTGTTTATTATGCTACTACTCATTATTATCAAGACGATAACTAGAATAATTTTATAAGCTGAAGAAAGATATTAAGATGTTAATGTAGGCCTAATGTAATTTCGATGATATAGTTTTTTTATCGATATAAACGCTTTGCAATAATGGCGAGCGTCAATTTATTTTATTTTATGTATCATTTATAGGGACAGGCTTAAATAATTATCTGTTAACAGAGTATACCACTAACTTGATAGGTATGTTACCCGTTTGAACTAAATTCATTCAAAATTCTTAGAAATTGGTGTTTGTTTACTCACAAGCAGCGTATATACAAATGATGAACAGTCGTATTTTGAAAGGTTAGACCTAATAACACAAAACAAGGAAGAAGAGAAATAGTCTGGTTGGTTTTGGTTGGTTTACCATGAGTGTAAATGGGATAGGTGCAAAATAAAATGTTGAAAAGGTGATTTTGCAATGTGTAACATGAAATTTAAATATGTATGCGCAATGAAAACGATAAGAAAAAAGATAATGGATGAAGAAGATAAATGACTATCGCTGTTTAATTAGAATCATTCCATTATAGTAACTATTTTTGACATGTTGATTTTGTCATTCTTTTCCATTTTTCCATTTTTGCAATAAAGTCATGAGCAAAAGCACAATTGCTAGTATGTCTGTTTCTCTTTTATAATCGGCTTTCTAAATGATTCATCTCCAACATATCGTGTATTTTTAGGGAATTATCAATTGTTACTCAAATAGGAGCAGGCAAAGGGGCTTGTAATATCTTAATGATGATGATAATGATGGTGGTGGTGGTAGTGATGGTGATGGTGGTGATGATGATGATGATGTTGATGATGATGGTGGTGGTGGTGGCGGCGATGATGACGATGTTGGGGTGGTGGTGGTAATGATGATGATGATGATAGAGGCGATGATGATGATGATGTTGATGATGATGATGATAGTGATGATGGTGATGATGGTGATGATGATGGTAATGATGATGATGATGATAGTGATGATGGTGATGGTGATGATGATGATGATAGTGATGATGATGGTGATGGTGGTGATGATGGTGGTGATGATGATGACTACAATGTTGGTGATGGTGGTGGTAATGATGATGATGGTGATGATAGTGATGATAGTGATGATGATGATGATGGTGGTGGTGGGGATGATAATGGCGGTGGTGGTGGTGGAGATGATGATGGTGGTGGTGGTGGTGATGGTGGTGGTGGTGACGATGATGATGCTGAGGATGATCACAGTTTTGACGACATTGACGATGGTACAAATTACGAAGATGATGAGAATGATAACGATGACAAAAAGATGACGACTACACACGGATAATGAAGTTGCGATCGTGAAGATGATGTAGAGAAATCTATAAACCCGACGACGATGGCGATGATAATGATGAAACATATGAGAATATTTAAAGATAATCTTAGAGATAACGGTAACCATGACAATGTTTCCCCTTCCAAATGAGCCGAGTAGAAAAAGCTAGGCCTCGGCCAATATCAGACAAACAACTCTACCGGTCACGTTTTGACCAACTGAAAAGTCTTTCCCATTTTTTTTTCTTTCGCTGTTTTCTTCCTTTCTCTTTATCGGTTTCCTGTCCAATCCCACGATTTTTTGCCTTGATTTATTGCTTTTTAATACTCTAAGGAGCGCATTTCATTTTGTTACGACCTGTTAAAGTCATGTTTCAACAGGGGATGTCTGATTATTTGAAGTCCTGCCGTTGTTTTTCTCGAGATAGAAACATTAAGGAAAGTAAAGGGAAAATATGTTTGACGTGGTGTAAATCATATCGCAGGGAGACCAGGTGGCTGAACAAATATTATGATTTCCAAAACATTCTTGCACGTTGACAAGGAAGGAGTGAAATAATGAGGTTAGCAGGTTCCCTTCTCGGTTTCCTTCTCCCCCTTCTTTCTCTCTCTCTCCCTCTTTCTCTCTCTCTCTCTCTCTATCTCCCCCTCTCTCTCTATCTCCCCCTCTCTCTCTCCCTCTCTCTATCTGTCTCTCTCACCCTCTCTATCTCTTTCTCTCTCACAAACACATCCTTGCAAACACCCACATACACTCCCCGACGCACACCCATACACATACACCCACACCTTTTATGTTGTAACCTGTTCCTTTTATTCCTCATTGTCGGTCTCGTTCTCCTGTAGATCCTTCTACTTACCACCACCCTTTTTACCCCCCTCTCTCTCTCTCTCTCTCTCTCTCTCTCTCTCTCTCTCCCCATCTCTCTCTGGATACGCATATTTTCTTTGCTCTCACCTGTCCGACAAATATGCACTTTTTGACAATCCATGACGTCAACCAGTGATAGTTTACTGCCCTTCCAGAGCACATGGAAATGTCGATTTCAGACATCTATAAATCAAAATGTTGTGAAAGAAAAATATATTATTTAGTGATGTTGAATTGAGGGAAACATGATATGTAAACAGGTGCTACTATAATAAGCGAATAACAAAATGACTGGACTTGTTTCCCAAGTCAATAATATAGATAATTTCCCTTATAGTTTATAGGTTCATGTTTAACACTAGACCAGGTTAGTATATGGACTGAATGGTCCACCATGGAGTGTCATCATGTCAGTGATATTGCGTGTAAAACATATTATACAGGGGGGGGTGGGGGAGGGGGAGGAGAGTACAGAGGCAAAAGGACCAAAACCCGCAATTAAATTTACGAGAAGTCTTTTTAGAGAGACGGAGAAGAAAAAAAAATATGAAGGATTCGGAAGGCACACAAATTTCGTATTTTTTGTAGCCCAAAGACTATTTCTTTTCATCTTGTTTTTAAATTTTATTTTCATACTTTTTCGGGGTGTACTGGCTCTTTATTCAGGCAAGCAGAATTG